AAAAAATCGTGATTCTCATTTTATGCAAAATCGTGCAGCCCTACTATCTGCCGTCCTTTGATCTTTCACTCTATGTAATCTGTGCATTACTGACTCAGCAGACTAAGTGGATACGCACAGCTTTCAGGGTTTATCAGCTTGTTACTTATCCAGCACTACAGAAAATGGCAGACATCAGTGTCTCTGACCACTTTAGATTAGCTCTAGCATGAATGTAGAAATATGTTACCAAGTTTAAGCCAACTTTCGTTTTTTCCAAAATGATTTTCATCCAGTAGAATGAATCTCATCAAATTTCATTTGTAAAAATACAGAGCTTAGAGATTAACTCAGCTGTGGTTTCAGTCATTTTCACCACCAATTTTACAATCTCCCGTAGCCGCCTCAGTAAACAGGTTGTCGTCAGTCTTATCATCATGATGAGCTCAGACATTCAAAGGACCAGCTGTTGATGGTCATTTTTCTTTCCACCCTTAATCTCGTCTAGTTGTCTCGGGACTTTTGTTTTGTAAACCCACTTACTAAATATACTGTTGGCACCCAGCCCAGCTCATTTAGCCCAAAGATGAGAAACAGAACTTAATATATGAGAGGCGGTCTTTTATCAGTGATGTCGTCTTCACATCTTCATGATTAGTTTACAGCATAAATAAAAAGGCAAGTAGGTGTTAAGCTTATACCAGTAGGCAGCTACAAAGACCACTTCACATCAAGTACTATTCGACAAATAGTTTTTGAACAATTTATTTTTTATTTATTTTGCTTTTGGGGCTTTTGTGACTAGATTTGCACCTTCCTGGTGTTTCCCCAATGAGTGTCCATCTGTGTATCCCTTGTTTGCAGGCATCCATGATGTCTGCTGAAAATGATCCTCTTGGCCCACTGCCTCCTGGTTGGGGTGAGTTGACATTCATTTTTCTCTAAAAGCTGTGCTTGCTTTTTCTGGTGTCAGTACTTTGTGTTCTATACTTAAAAAGTGGAGCTAGGAGTACATCAGCAGTTCTTAATAAGGTAAGCAATCGTGGTAGGTTTCTACACGTGCAGAGAGGGAACAACACACCTGGAAGGTAGATTGTTCCTTCTGTTCTTGCTAGAGTACTTTAGAGGTCACACCATTGCTCACAGGTCCTTGTTTGTTTTGTTGCTGGATAGTTGGTCAGGAAAAATGGATGCATGTTTTCGGTCTTTGTTATAGTGCAGAATACGTTTGGACCAATCAGTCTCCTCCCCTTTGGTGTTCTGTGCTGGATTGTATTGTGTGGCTTTATTTTGAACCTGTTAAAATAATATAACAACAATAAAGAAAAGAAAGGGGGAAAACGCATTTTTGCAAATGTACATATGTACAGCCCTTTTGCAAAGGGCTGTACATATGACCTATTTCTATGCCAGATTCTGATATACGTATAGTACCGGTATATGCATATTCTGAATATATATCCCCAATATGTTTTAAAGTTAAATGTCAGCATTCTGCTCTGCTTAATGATTAAAAGGATTCATTAATTAACAGCTTTTTCTGTGTACTGATATGTAGGACCAAGTGTCTCTTATGTCTGTTGCTACGCTACAGATTTCTTGTGTTTATTTGAATACATTTCAGAGAGGCGTGTTGACTCCAATGATCGAGTGTACTTTGTCAACCATAACACAAAGACAACACAGTGGGAAGACCCTCGAACCCAAGGGTGAGTGGCAGAAAACACTACAGACAAACTCTGCCAGTGTGGCCTTTTGGATGTAAACCATTAACTTCACTGTGCGGTGCTACTTTGTGTTAACTTTACTAGTAGCCACACAGTAACTTCACCATTTTTCTTGAACAGCATGCAGGAGTGTATGGTCAGATGGGACAGATCAAACTATTGCAATCTTGACCTACTTTACTGTCAGTACCTGGAACCCTCTCGTTTCCTTATTTTTCTGTCATGAAACCTGCTAAATTTATTTTTAAAGCTGCGAGAAGCTACAACTCCCTGTGTGTCTTCATCTAATCTTAATGTACTATAACCATGGCAGGTTTTGCAGAACCAGTATGTTCTTCAGCCAATAAAGTTGAGCAAAAAAACAAGGAAACCCAAAGGAATTCAGTTAAATTAGCCATTATAATTTGATTCAGTGCAGTAAAGTAAATAGCTGAAAAGGTTTAAACACAAAACTTTCTGCTGTTCATTTGATGGTTTAGAGTTTGACTCTTTAAAAGGAATATTAACATTTTATTACATTTTATTGTTTTGCCTTTGGTTTATGCTAACTTGTTTTCTATTACTCTTTAGTAGTGAAGTAAAGTGCTGCCAGATATTTTCAATTTGGACTTTGTCCTTGTAGGTAATGTCTGTGTTCAGCAGCTACAAACCTACATAACACTTTGTCTGTGTGCCTGCAGGCTACAGAATGAGGATCCTCTGCCTGAAGGTTGGGAGATCCGGTACACAAGGGAAGGGGTTCGCTACTTCGTGGATCACAACACCCGAACCACAACTTTCAGCGACCCCCGCACTGGAAAGTCTTCTGTGTAAGAACACCTTTCAAATCAATTTATGCACCAGGTGTCTGAAGACCTGCATCTTTAGGTGCTTATGTAAAGTTTAAGGGGCCATGTTTAATGAGGCCAGCTGGAGTTATTTTGAGATTTAATTTAGCTGATATGCTGTACATATAGCATTAAGTTGGGTAAGAAGAAAAAAGGATGTGGATTCAAAAGAAGCACTTCCCACTGGTGTTCAGTTTTATGGTTTTATTTCACACCGGGCCTTTGAGGAAACCTTGTAATTTCTTTTTGAACTCCAAATGTATGCCTAGAGCACATTTTCCATGCAGGGCAAACACTGAAAAACATAAATGGATGCAACTATTTACAGTGGCTTGCAAAAGTATTCGGCCCCCTTGAACTTTCCCCTTGAACACATTTTCTAAATCTTCTTTTCTCCTCAGCACCAAAGGCCCTCAGATTGCATACGAGCGCAGCTTTCGATGGAAGCTTGCCCATTTCCGCTACTTGTGCCAGGTTTGTGTTTCCTCTCACTTAACGAATTAAAGACGGTGAGAGATTAACTTGATATTCCAATTTCCTAATCCCACTCGAATACCTTTTTTGTTCTTGTCTCCACTCAGTCTAATGCTCTCCCAAGCCATGTGAAGATCACTGTCTCCAGGCAGACACTGTTTGAAGACTCCTTTCAGCAAGTAAGTGCGTCCTTTTCTTTTTGTCATCTTTGTGTTTAAGATGATGTTTACAGCATAAGGTAGTACCTTAGTGCAGTGGTTCCCAAACTTTTTTTGCTAGGCCCCCCGTTGTTTTACAAGAAAATATTTGAAAATCTGCTTTGGTGCAAAGTGACAATGGGTGTAGTGGAATTAAGACCCACACTAAGTGGGTTTGCAGGCAGTGCCCCGTGAACCATTACTCTCTCCTTATCCCTCTGACTGACTGGGGGTCTGTTTTGGGGGTTGTCTTTCAAGTGCACCCGTTGTCACTTTGATTTGCACAAAGCAGCTAAAATGGATTCACAGTGACTGCTGCTTCCTAGCTGGGCACAATGATATCCCTGAAGTTGAACAGACTTTGTGTTATACTTTAACGATCAAGCGTTCTTTATTTATTTTTGTACAATCTGTATTCACAACTGTGCACTCATCACTTGCTGATGTTGTGTGTGTGCTAACTGTCTCTTAGATTATGGCCCTGAAGCCTTACGACTTGAGGAGGCGATTGTATGTCATCTTCAGAGGCGAGGAGGGTCTGGATTACGGTGGCCTGGCCCGGTAATAAAGACACTGAAATATAATTTTAACTTTAAAGAATTCCAAAGAATATTTGTGTATAAAGAGTAAATGAAAATGTGCAGCTCATGGCCCTCCATCTCCCTCTTCTCTTCAGAGAGTGGTTCTTCTTGTTGTCCCATGAAGTGCTGAACCCCATGTACTGCCTGTTTGAATACGCTGGAAAAAGCAACTATTGTCTGCAGATCAACCCAGCGTCAGCCATCAACCCCGACCACCTCTCCTACTTCTGCTTCATAGGCCGCTTTATTGCAATGGTACATTCACTTGATTCTCGCACACATTAAAACCATCATGACAACACAGACGGTTGTGTTACCCGTGGTTTGTCAACCAGTGTCTCACATCCAGTCTTTTTTCTTCTCTTTTTTAAGACAAGTCATATTTTGGAAAAAGTTATTTCAAAATCATAAGAGCTCAAGAGAAAAAGTGTTCAGTGTTGTTTTACACTTCCCAATATTTACTTATTTTGTTAATATGCAATTACACTGTGAGACTGTCTGCAATCTCTTTATCTTGATGCTTTCTGATTGACCAGCAGTTAAAGAACCTTATCTCCTCTTGATTACCCACAGGCACTTTTCCATGGCAAGTTCATTGACACAGGCTTCTCTCTGCCTTTCTACAAACGCATGCTGAACAAGAAGTTAATACTCAAAGACCTTGAGTCCATTGACCCAGAGTTCTACAACTCACTCATATGGATCAGGTAATTGATCTCTCATGTGTTGGAGTCCTACCATATTGTATTCATTTGAGAAGAGGGCACGGCTAGAAAATTAATTTCACTGCACTTATTACTGAGTTGAGCTTTTGGTTAAAGAGCCACAGAGTGTACTCTTAATTTGATTGTTTAGAAAGTTTCTCTTTGCTTGACTTTGCTTAGAATAACTTTCAAGGTCTCTTGACCGTTATTAAGGAACTTTTGTTATTGGGTGCTTTTCAAGCAAATTGTTGATAGAACAAATTGTGCAGTTTATTTAGGCTTTATTTATAATGGAGGTCATATCAAAGTGTTGCTCTTGGAACGCTGTGTACAAATAAGGCTTATCAAATATATCTGTATCATTTCTCAAACTATTGCTGAGTCAAGACTGGAAGTAAAAGGAAAAACTGCATAATTGTTTTGTTTTTGGTCCCGAGTACAATGAACACACTGTAAATGACACCTGGAGTCAAGTCGGTTCATTTATGCAGTCCACTATATGTTGCGGTAGGTTTTATAGTGCATAACATACAACACTCTGGTTTTTGTCCACTTATTTGGCTAAGAACACCCCATAAAATCAACTACTTAAAGAAGTGAGAAACCTCAAGGAAAACATTTGTCCCTTTCCCACTGCTCACAAACATGTTGTGTTTTATATTGAATCCTCAAAATAGCTTTTATGAAAGTAAAATTTGGAAGTGTCTTGACCACCTGTGATGGTTTCCATTTAATCTCTGGCTCACTAGGCTTTTTAATAACGTGGTCATTTTGTCAGGGTGTTGTTTTTATACAGGAAACGACCTGTTCCGCTAATCGTATATTAGCAAGAACTACTGAACTTAGTTTTGAAAGGTTTTTTTTTTTGTGCGGTTTCACCTGTATGTCTTCAAGTGTTTCTCCTCACTGACATCTTCAAGTACAAATGCAGTTTGATTAATCAGTGTGCTTTGCAGCTGGTTCATGCGGTGTGCAGCATTACAGAGCAGTGACCTAACGCAGCTGTTTAAAAGAATGAAAGAGTTAGGTGGAAAAGTTGGCAGCTTTGAAGAAACTAAAATGCAGACCATGTTTTGATTGAATTAACAATAAAATAAAAGCTGGGAATGGCTGACAGTGAAGAAAGCCAGACAACATCTTGTAATGGGGTTATTTATAGTAGCTTTGCGCCTGCTTTATTTGCTTTTTACTCATTCTTAACTAAACTTAACCTCCTGCATTAGAAGTCAGAAAACCCTTTTACCGCAGAAGTATGGAAAGAGCAAAGGCTATCCACGTACAAAAAGGTCAACTTAAGAATATCTCAGAGATAAAAATCCAGAGCGTTTGAAGCAAACACAGTTCCCTGTGCGTCTCCGTGATGTGTTAAAAATTGGTTGTACTTTGGCAACATCTGAGTCTTTCCTCAGGGACAACAACATCGAGGAATGCGGTCTGGAGATGTTCTTCTCCGTGGACATGGAGATCTTGGGGAAGATCACCTCTCATGACCTCAAACCCAATGGTGCCAACATCCAAGTCACTGAAGAGAACAAGGAGGAGTACATCAGGTTCACAGTCTTTGTGTTATCAAAAAAACTCACCTCTGAATATCATTTAAAGTACATATTAAAGAAGATTTGTACTGTTTGGCTTGCAGTCTAATGGCAGAGTGGAGGTTCTCTCGTGGGGTGGAAGGTCAAACCAAAGCTTTTCTCGACGGCTTCAATGAGGTGGTTCCACTTCAGTGGCTCCAGTACTTTGATGAAAAGGAGCTTGAGGTGAGCACCATTTTTGATCTATTTTAATGACTTCTGTTGTCTGTTTAAATGTAATACTAACTTGTACCTAATAATAATTTAATAACCAACTTAATACATGCCACAGAATTATTTTTGTTTGAATTAATCCTGGAAATCAAAGCATACACAACTACAGTGGAATGATGTTGGTTTATATCCTCTGTGTTTGTGAGAATAACCTTTTGTGTGTATGTGTTTAAACCAGGTGATGCTGTGTGGCATGCAGGAAGTAGACTTGCAGGACTGGCAGAGAAACACTGTGTATCGTCACTACACCAGGAACAGCAAACAGATCATCTGGTTCTGGCAGGTACAGAAATGCACAGCCTCACAGTTTGTTCTGTTTGCTCAGTTTGTGTTTTCTTTCCCTCCAAGTAGCAGTAAAACAAGCTCTTAGTGCAGGATTTGATAAAATAATTGAACTTCAAGAAATAGCGTTTGTTTTTTTCTTAATGTGTCTCATATTGCCGTAAATTCCCCGTATAACCTACGTGGATGAAGGTCCTTGACGAGTTAGTCGTAGAAAGTCAGTGATGAATGTTCTGGCGTCATTTCCTTCCCTGCAGCTGGTAAAAGAGGTCGACAATGAGGTGCGACTACGGCTCATGCAGTTTGTCACTGGAACCTGCAGGCTTCCTCTGGGCGGCTTTGCTGAGCTCATGGGTCAGTGAGAGACGAGCATGCTTACTAAACATACTATTTATATTTCCTTAATGCTTTCATTTTTTTTCTTAAGCCAATTTTTCCTTTGCATTGCAGGAAGTAACGGGCCGCAGAAGTTCTGCATTGAGAAGGTGGGGAAAGACACGTGGCTTCCTCGCAGCCACACGTGGTGAGTGCTTGACCTTTGACCTCTCTACTTGACCACTATGTCTTGTAATGTTGTGCACAGAATTTTACATCAGTATACTTTAGTACAGTTTTAGTGGAGTCCTACAGCCTGTCTGACTGCAGGATAAATGATATCAAGGACCACCAGAGTAGCAACCTGGCCAGCAAACCAGCTAGTAGCAGAAAACACAAGAAGGCTTGTTAGGAATATTCAAAATAACAGCAGAATTATTTACAAATTAAACAAATCCCCAAGTATCTCTGGGTAGCCTGCCTAAGTATCCTCTCCAGTGACAGGCCGGTGAAAAGGTTTTACATCTTGAATTGGATAGAAGAGGCCTGAGAGAGTCCCACTCAGTTTTCTAGACTGAAAAGACATTTTACCTGTCTTCCATTATGTTAACCAGTCGGTGCTTTAAAGGTGTCAAATGATGAAGCTGTGAGAGCAGCTGTATTAGAAGTATAGTCATAACCATGTTTTTGTGCTGATGTTAAAGCTAGAGGAGGTTTGGAGCTCAGTTAATGAGTCAGCAGTGACTTGGCGACCCTGCTCTGTGACTGCATGCTTGCTTCTTGCAATGGTGACATAACGCTAGAGGACCACACTGGAACTCAGTGAGGTCTTTAGAACGACCCACTCTCTCTTTCACTCAGGATCGACTGACTTTTATACTCTTGGGTAGTGGGACTGATTTTTTCCCAACCTATTTCAGATCTGATAAACACAGTTTAAAAATGTCTTTGTTTGTTTGTCTCTGTTTTTGTCTTTTCAGTTTCAACCGTCTGGACTTGCCTCCTTACAAGAGTTACGAACAGCTGAAAGAGAAGCTGCTCTTTGCCATCGAGGAAACAGAAGGATTTGGCCAAGAATAGAGGGAGGAGTCCTCTTCTATTTCCCTTCCTCTCCCATCGCTGTTTATTCAGCCAAGAAAAACAAACTTAAAAAAATTGCACAAGATAACCACCACTGTATATAAGCTATTTTGTCATTTCAAACCAAATCCTAATTTGCTGCATAATTGTTGCTGCAGCCCTCTTCCCCCAGTCCCTATATATCTAAATATATATCTATATAATACACCTTCATGAAATATGCAAGCGTTACAGCATTTTGCTCTTTGTTCAAAAACAGAAATCACTGATAGTTTTGGGTTTTTGGGTTTTTTACACTTCCTCCACCACTGCTGACTGGCTTTTAAAAAGACATTTAAATTGTTTTTGAGAGGATTTTATAAAGTGCAGTCTCCTTTTAAAGCTCTAGTTCTATAGGGCTTTTAAAAGGCTAGATTAGAAGTATCGGGGTCTGGTGCCTGAAATTGTTGCTCCTGTCGGACTCATAGTAATTTTGCAATTTTGGTGCACTTGCATGCTGCCTCTAAAGATGAGAAGACTGCTATGCCCACCCTCCACCGCACACATAGTTTTTAGCATGGATCTCTCCGTTTCTAAATAAGCTCATTGCTACCATTAAAAAAAAAAATGTAGCACTGCAATTGGACTGATTGGAAGCACAGAAACACCCAGTGTTGTTTTGTTCTAGTGTTTTTGCTTTTTTCCCTCAATGAAAATCTGGGCACCGGCCCAGAGACAGAACATGTTTGGGGAAACAAGAGAGTGATTTTTTTTTTTTTTTTTTTTTTAAACACACACATGTGAGTGTGACGATGCAGGGAACTTCATGGATTAAAGTTTCAAGCTAGAGATCCCACATGAGATGTTGCAGATTGCCTATGCTGCAGTCTGCTTGCACACTGTGAAGCTACAAGAGCAAAGCTGGTTACTCTAACCTAAATAATGAGCTACAGACAGGTGACAAACTAAAGGAGAATAAAGTGTCTTTAAAGATATCGGGCCACCAGTTCTTAGAGTTTTTCCGCAAGACGCTTGCTATTCCAGGTCCTCTGTGTTGGCCAAAATCTCCACATTTCCACCCTCAGCCCCTCGCGTTGTCATTCCTCTCCAGCCAGATTTGTTTTTGTAAACTGAACATTTTTAGCCCTCAGCTGTAAAAGGCTGATAAGTCAAGGTCACTGAAATTCAAACTCGAGAGGTCAGGTTTTCTGAAAACGTGTGAAAGATGTCGTCTAGGATCATCTACAATCCTCAGATGAGTTCAGATCTCAGTGACCTTGATGAGGTATTGTTGTCACCCCACCAGGTGGGAAAAGTCACACCCAACTTTGTGAACACGAGAGTGAGGTGACCTAGGATTTTCAAATTTATACCCTACGTGTATCTACTACAAACCTCGGACAAGTTCAAATCTTGGTGACTTTGACCTCACGTTCGAGGTTCTTTAATGTGTCATGTTTCATTCATCATAAAAGAATCTGACACATAGACATGAAGCCACTCAGGTCTTAGTGTTAATAGCAATTAAAATAGGTAATCCATCTGATTTAAATGTAATAATATAACAGTAAAAATATACAGTCAGAGGGGAAGTCAGAGCCAGAGGCCTAAGATTTCAAATTGATACTTAATGGTATTAATTTGACTTCGAATCTCAGTGACTTCTACCTCAAAGTCAACATCAGAGGTCAAGTTTTCTGAAAATCTTATGAATGAAGTAACCCAAGAAGGAAGTCACCTGGGATTTTCAAATTAACACCATAAGTGCAGCTGCTAGCACAGCTGGCTGTCAGTGTTTTAAATCAATTACAAACTGAGACAGTCATGTCAGCAAATTGTCAGATCCTAACAGAACCAGACGCACTCGCTGTAGAGGGAAAGAGTTCAAGGCTTTTGTCTTGGTGTAAAACACACATGTGCCCCCTACAGACCATCGTAGGTGCAGTCACCTCTGTAATGAGGGCTCTACTATGATTTCCTCTCAGACTGTTGTTGGCGCTGTCTGTTTACATCCTGCATTGACATTCTCAGTCACCCCCCCACCCTTACATCACACTGATGCCATTTTTCTTGCCAGCTTCATACAAGCACAGATTCACTTAAAAAGAGCGCGTTTGCTTAGCTGGCTTTCTTCTGCCTCTTTGATTGAATTATCTCAAACTGGCGTGTGCTATAAAGCCGTCATGTTTCAGAGGACGGCGGGTATTATCGTTGTTCTTGAGTGACAGGCATCACACCTAACCAACATAATGCACAACAAATAAATAAATCAGATTTGTCCATGTCGTGCCACAGTGAGGTTCAAAAAAACAGTTGCACCCCAAGAAGGCAACTACATTTCATCTGCACAAAATGACGACCTGACCCAAGCATTGGGGTCTTAACCACATGATACAATCTCATTTATTTACCTCCGTATTTAGACTGATGTCCTTAAATTAAAAATAATCTTTTGTGGCAACTCCTCAGCATCTTAGGCCCTAATGCAGCATCAGCCTGATGACACACTGCTTTGTTGTGTGTTTTTATCGTTACACCCCCAATTTCCCCTGGTCCTTTTTGTTTCTTTAACTGCCTCGCTGTTATGTTGAAACTCCATTGTTTGTAAATGACAACTCTGGTGCTTACTCTTTCAGTCAGTGGTCTAAATGCAGGAAAAAAGAAGAAAATAACTCAGCCAGTGGCAGGCCGTTCTCCTCATCTTTGGTGTGTGGGGTTTGTTTATTTTGTTTTATTTAAAGACCACTGCAAACAGCAGCAAGCTGATTTAGACTTTGATTCCTCTGAGGAGCTCGTGATTTAGTAAAACGATCGGTGGTGTATATAACTTGTTCGGCTCTCTGAGATGAAGCGCTGAAACGAGGGACAACAACATGAAGAGATGCATTGCTCTGTAGCAAAAGGAGCCGACTTTTAAGAGACGTTAAAACTGCATAACTGTGCTTCCTTTTGAACAGAAACCTCTAATCAAAGAAAATCAACTGTATGTGAATATTCATTGTAAAAAAGAGACAGTAAATGAAGTACTTAAATATTATAATTACTTACACAGAGCCGCCGCGCCATTGATGGAAATCTGTGATGCCTTTGTTCTTATCAGAAGTAGATGGACGTTTCAGATCGCCTTCATCGCAGCCAGTAACTCGCCGAAGTATCACGTGAATATCGGAAACAAAGTAGAGTTGAGTAACGATGCTGTATATCAACTTAATGCAGCGGGGAAGTTGCTGCGGTTTAGGCAATCTGAAATGCATCCAAACTTGTAACATATCGCGTGTAGATACACACTGTAAACACAAACTACACTGTACAGAATGCCCCTTTACTGGAGAAGATGTGTATAGAAGTTTCATTTTTAATCTGCTTTCACCCATTTTCAATAGAGAGAGAATGATTTATGAGATACAAATAAATAAGTGAATAAACCCCCGCATTGATTCATGTTTTCATTCTTTTTTTGTGTGTGTCCTGTGACTTTGGGGCATTATATACAGAGGAGAAAAATAAAACAAGGTTTGGAAATGACACTGATGTGACTTAAAGAATCTGTTGGGATTATTTCTACATGACAAAAATTTAATTTTGATCTTTAAGGGATTTGGTCCAACAGTAATTTGACAAACTAACATATATCTCAACTTAGGCGTTGTTTGAAAACTTGGATGAAAGTCCTGTGAGGCAGGTGACTGGAGTCCACAACTCATGGACATCACCGAATGCTGCGTTTCCTCCACTGAGATGCTCTGCCAGGCCTTCACTGCAGTCATCTTCAGTTGCTGCGTGCTGCTTGTTGCTTGAGATGAGGTGACTGACTTGGATGTTAAAAAATAACCCATTTCTTTGCTTTGAGAAACTGAGTTGCTTTTACAGTTTGTTTTGCGTCATTATCCATTTGAAATGTGAAGCACCAGCTGATCAGTTTGGCAGAAATTGGCTGAATCTAAGCAGAGAGTACAGCCCTGTACGCTTCACAATCCTCCCTGCTGCTTCTACCAGCAGCCTCATCATCAGTAAACGTAGTGTAAAGCACTTTGGGGTCCTTAGGGACTAAGTAAAGCGCTATACAAGTACAGACCATTTACAATCATCAGTAAACACATTAACAGCACAGTTACACTGGAAGCCATACATGCCAATAACATTCAGTCTTCATGTTTGACAGGAGACATGATTTGCATTCTTTTCTTTTGGATGTAGACTGGCAGAGAGTCTAATCTGGCAATCAGTGGTTTGCACCTTATTGTAAACCCACTGTATTCACATTTATGAAGCCAGTTTTTGATCGTAGACAGTAATACACAGAAAAAAAA